ACGAAGGATAGTCAACTGAAATCAATCCAAAAGTAAACCAGAGTGTACGGTGAAACATAGAAAAAACATTATTCTCCTTATCTGCTGTGATGGTTCTCCATCTTAATAATCCAATCTCCTCTCCACTCCATCCATTTTCATCGTTGTCGTATAGGCAGCATCGTTGTTCTCAAACAAGTATTACATTCATGCCAAGTAATTCACAAAGGAAAATGACAGCAACCATCTTGAAACATACACAGCATTTGTACTATGTCATACCACCACCAATAGCAACGTTCGATAATCCATCCGTATGCTTTTTCTCTTACGACCGTGTTACACAATTATGAAACGCGCTGTGATTGCCCAGTTGGTGCAGTATCAGAACCCAAGCTTGTTTGTTACCACTGCGTTATTACGAGTGCTAACAATGCACTTGCGTTTACTTAGTGCATATAATTGGTTTGTCAGCGATCCATTACGTTGACCGTACTGCATAAAAATGATGGTGTGGAAGGTAGACGACAGACATAGGATAGAACGGATTTCACATCCACGACTGAGATTGGATTGTCTATTTACATCAATCGTTCCCCGTGGATTCCCGATTGACCACAACTGCTGTTTGATCTCATAATCCAAATCACTTACGATCAGAGATCGGAGTGACGAGACCGTGTACAGATTCCACTTTTACGTTCACAGATGCCAAATCGCGTAGTTCGAACCGAGTGAACTAAAATGACCGCGTGTGGTCCAAAACTAAAGCATATGTCATTAGATATTGGTATTTTCCTACAAGTACCTGTACAACCCTTTTATTCAATTTGATTAACGATGTATATCCACCGGATTTCGAACCCGGACAGGATTGGTTGGCAATCTGAGGAGTCAGCCGATAGACTTTGGACAAAACTGCTTCTAGGGTATGCTGCTTAGCATTTGGGGATACACGTGCTATGAGTGGGATGAATATACTCATACCCTCACCCTCACCCGTGTCCTCCCGAGGAGTCCCATGTTTAGTCACAAAACTTTACATATGCACGTGAAGACAAACAATTCAACCCAAGTACCAAACTTATGAGTTGGTCAGTGGTGTGATCAATTTCAAGTCAGGTGAAAAATCGTTCTATTCCTCCTAACGGATGGATTCTCAGCTTCATTCTTTTGAAAGGAGAGGTGTGGTGAGAGCTAAAATCCGGCCGCAGCTCGCTCGCATCGAATGTCAGGTGACTGGTCGGCTTCTCTATCGACCTTACCCTCGGTAGTGACAGGCCTAATGATTATTGATCTGCATTTCACCTATTGACCTTGTAAATCGTGTTGACACAATTACAGTCAG